TTGGTGTATACTTTTAGAGGAACCGTCTTTTGTGGTCTTGCCATCATTATCAACTTCCAACCTCCTGATAGGAATCAAATACTGTTGTTACTTCTTTTTCCTTATATGTTTGTGTTAATCTTTTCATGCTTTGCAAAATGATTATTGGTGGGTTAAAAAGAGTTTTAAGTTTATTCTATTTTAAAGCCTTTGTTGTCGTTTTTAGCGTTTTTTGGGAAATGATTTTGAATAAGACACAACATATATTCCCTTACAAAAGCATACTACTTTCAAAGTACATTGTTGTAAGTCCCCAAAAAGCCTGTGTATCAATCAGATCTGTTTGATGATGCGGAATCCCAATCAAACGGATGATGTCAGATCAAAGAGAAGAGAAGGAGAAGAAGAATACTATGAATCTCAATGTATTGATAAATAGAATGATGATCCGGATACAAGAGATTCACACACACTAACACACACTTTTCTTCTCTCTCTCTCTCTCTCTCTCTCTCTCTCTCTCTCTCTCTCTAGGCCGTACACTCCTTTTCTGTTCATTAATCTACTCCTTACCCCTAACACCTATATATATACAAGGGGGACATGGGCTGGAGACACATGGGCCGTAAATGGGTTTACGGCCGTAAACACTGACCGTAAACACTTAAATGGCTATAACCACTAAGCTGTTTACGGTCCAAGACACAAAAATACAATTTTTCTAGAAAAGTAAAGTATACACCATATTTTTGACCCAACAATCTCCCCCCTTTGTTTATATCTTTATTTTCTTAATTGACCCAACAAGCTCCCCCTTGATTTATAACTTTCTTTTCTAAATGACCCAACACGCTCCCCCTAAAAAGTAGATGGATTTTCTTGTCAATCTTCATCGAGAGCTTGGCTTCATCATTTATCTTCAATGAATGACTTCATCTTGAGCACTTGGGCAATTCTTCAAGATTTCAAATTGAACTCACGTTGGGTGAGGATGCTTGATGTACTGATTCTTGAAAGATGATGCTTTCAGCTTGAGAATCTTCAGAGAGAACTTCATAGAGAAATAATATTTTGGATCACTTCAGCAGGTTCATAGATAGCAGCAGATTGATTGAGGGGGCTTCAATGCAATCCGTCACATAATCTTCAATTTCAGCTTCACATTGCTTCTGGGGTTGAAAGATTGAATGTTGAAAGAATAATCTTCATTTCTTGCTCCTTCGAATGAGAATTCTTTGATGATCACAGATGAAGCTTTGGCTCAAAAATTTTCGACACAAACTCCATGAGATTTATCTACACCTGAAATCACTTTTCAAGACAAAACAAAACTAAAAGAAAACTTAGCACACAAATTAAAACATAAACAAAAATATTTTTGGATTTTTGATTTTTTTTTCTGAACAAGAAATAAAACAGAAATAAAAACGTTGTTGGATTTTTTATTTTTCTGATTTTTGTTTGATTTTTTTAATTTTTTATTTTTGTTTTTATTTTAAATTTTTTTTAATTCTTCCCCTAAATTTGTGCATAGAAGAAAATTATGAACAAATTTAACAAAAACAAAATTATTTGGGATCAAAGTTGTTGGACAATCCTATTCTACTTGTCGGTACTCTTATTTTCACATCTTCGTCTGATCGATCACGAGTGTTGTGGTCCACTTAAGCACAAAACATTTGTGATAGAATTTGGACAATTTACCAATGACATGACACACACACATATATATATATATAATTTTTATTATCATTATCAGCCCTAATTCTTAAATAAAATTTTCTTATGACCATTTAACTGACTACAACCAGGGATATTGTTATCCACCTATATTGAGCATCGAGATATACAGACAATATGTATGTGTTCATTTTTAATTGTACTAGAACGTGTTTCCCGCTTTCTGGTATGCCCCAGCCATCAAGGACTTCCAAAATACTCCTTACACCAGGTGAGCAGACAATTATTAAGAGAGAAGATAGATTTAGAATGCATATGCTATACATCCAGGTCGGATCTCTTCCAATCATGCAAAGGATGAAACATATGACTAACTGAAGTTTTAGAGGGATTGAGAAGAGAACGTTGCATATACTGTGTACCAGGGTGGATTATGAGTCACACAAAGGAGATAGTATGTGGCTAACAGATAGAAAGAATTGCATAGAGAGAAGACGCAGAGAGATAGAATTACATATGTTACAGTCCAGGTCGGATCTCTCGATCACGCAGAGGAGGCAACATATGACTAACAGACAGAAAGCAAGAAAACAACCTTCTACAGACCTAGTTTATCGGAATTCCCCATTCACCCCATCAAAATCGAAATTAAGGACAAAATCTGCACATCGAGGAAAAGTTAATCCACAGTTCTAGATACGGGTTTTTTAATGTGATCGGTAGATTCCCATGTATATCTCCTTGCTCAACCTATCCGAGCGTCGTGATGTCACGCTAAATGGATCTAACTAGGTCAATGTTTGTCAAGTCCTTGAATTCATTAAGTTCAACTCTCCCTAGTTAAGTTCATTTAAAATCTTTCCTGCCTACCAGCACATCGAGCACAGAGCGTTGACAATTCAACTTAGGTACGTTACGTAGATTCAGATTTCCCGTTATCACTTGCTAATTTCATTTCCCGATAATAACTACTAATGAAAAACAATTAAGAAAATGAAAATTTATCTTTAAAACGAATCATAGTAAGATAAACTCAAGAGTATATAGAAGAAAACGCAAACCATAATTCACCGATTGAATTTGCATCTATAAGGTCTAAGAACAGCATGCATAATCCCAGAACAGATCCGAAAATTCTTCATGTCGTTACGCACCAACCCCATTTGTGATCTCTTCCATTCCTCCTTTCTTTCCTTTCCCACAAAGGACACATACTCCCGAACAAAGTTCTGAGTGTTGTATAGTTGAGAGATGTCCCCTATCATATGCCAGGAGCAGCCACTACCAACAAACCGAAGTCTGATGATATGCCTCTGTAGCTGCTCCGACATAGAGCAGGATCAGTTGGTCTTTGGAACCCAGTCCATTTTGAAATTGATTTGACCTTTGTCATCCTTGCACGATACTCTCTCCCATGACATATCCTGCTTATCATAAACAAAAGATGTAGAAATATTATAAGCATTAGGAGATTTGGGACATTAAACCTTCGGAACCCATTTGTAGTTGGGTTTAACCCATTTCTTTTTCGATCCGATGGGTGCCTTGGCACTTGATTTTGAACTTGAAGTCGGCTTCTGAGATGATTTTTACCTTATCGGTCTTGGCTTCACATGAGCATCTCTTGGATTGGACTTCTTGGCCGGCATTTCATTCTTGCCCTTGGGATTCGGATTCTTGGCCTTCTGCGCGTTCCAGTCACCATGGTGACCTTGAGGGGTTTCTTTTGAAGTATCTCCCTCTAGGCGCGTTCTGCCAACCTTGTGTGTAGTAGGGAAGTATGTGCGATTTGGACAGTTTCGGGCAATATGTCCAGGTGTTCCATAGTGAAAACATGTCTTTTTATTCACTGTGAAGTTGTTTCTTCCTGCTCCTAGTGGCTTATCCTTGCCTTGTCTCTTGTTGTTCCCACGTGCACACTTGCAACAAGCACTCTGTTGCGCTGGAATTGGTGGCATGTATTTATCAACGACAGGTTTGTTAGGAGTAACAAAATTCGAAGAAACATATTCTGAGTTCAAGGAGTCATTGGTTTATTCAATAGTGTTCTCATTGTTCTCATATTCTACTACTTTACCTACACATGAAGTAGCAACATTAGTATCTTCAACATTAATAACTCCGTCTGACACAAATCCAGCTGGTTTGCCATAAACGATGAATGGTTCGTTGGCAATCTCCTCTTTAGTCAAAGGGTGATACTGATATGCGTGAATGAAAGGAGGAGGTACATTATCGTATCCTAAACCCTTTTGTTGGTTTTGTTTGAACTGCAGGCAATGGTCAATCATATTAGAAACTACCTCGCTTGATACATCAAACTTTTTAAAATGAAAATTGGCGGTTTCAAATTTCCCTTTTAATGTATCTAGCTCAGTAAGTAACTCAACATTCTGTCTCTTGATATAGTCATAGTTTTCACATTTATTACTGTAGTTTTCCTTAAGTTTCCTAAAGTCCTTGGTTTTTGCTTCTAATTCAGCCTTCAGGGGTTTCTGTCATTTCCTGAGTTGATATCCTTCATATCTCAGGTCCTCAACTTCTCTTTTTAATAAATCAATTTGTTCACGAAGAATTTTAATCGTATCTTCACAAGATGGAGTACATGAAACTTCATTGACCGGGATGTTTGTGGAACTCATTGTTTTTCCACATTTCAAAGCATCAAGCTCTTAAATTACAACAACAAGACTAAGATGATTGAGATCTTTTGTCTTCTTGATGACAACTACGTTCATATCTCACGATTTCGGAAGTGAATCCAGTAGCTTTTTGTTTATCTTAGATTTAGTCAAGAAGATGTCATCTATATTCATCTCAGTAGTGAGTGTGGTAAATCGCTGCAACTGAGCTTCCAGGGTTTCTCAAGGGATATAATTGAACATGTTAAAGTTCTGTCTTAACATCTCCTGATGACTCTCTTTCATGTCTTTATTTCCCTCGTTGACCTTAAGAGTCATTAAAAGCCCAACTAGAAGCCAAAATCAAACTTCAATGTCAAACCCTTTGATTATAAACCTCAAAAGTCAACCTTAAAAGTCAAATTTAAAAGTTAAACTCAAAAGTCAAACCGAAAAGCTAAATTTAAAAATTTAAAAGTTAAACGAAAAAGTCAAAGTTTAAAGTCAAAGGTCAAACTTGAAAGTGAAAGTCAAAATTTAAGGCCAAAAGTAAAAAAATAAAAGTCAAAAATTAAAATATGATTTTTATTAGTTTTATTTAATTTAATTTTTTTTATTATTTATTTTTATTTTGGATGAAAAAGGAATTTAGAAACTAAAAGAAATTGAATTTTGGGTTAAAAGTGTCAAATTTTGAAAGTTGGAATCGGGAGGGACACTTTAAGAATTAGGTTTCAAAGGAAAGACACAACGGAATGTGTAGCCGAGTTGGTAAGGCGCGGATTTGTTGACATGGAGGTCGCGGGTTTGATCCCCGACACCGTCAAAATCGTGAACCCCCCCCCCCCTTATTTTAATTAAACGCTGTGCGAGGCTGCTTCTTGCGACACTGCTGTTTGCGATGCTGGAAACACTACTGGGCTGCAAAATCGAATCGCAAGCTCCGGGGTCGTAAACCTCAGACCGTAAACTTCGGAAACCCTGGTTGTAAACGCCGTTGCCGCCGATTGTAAACTGTTTTCGGCGGTAAACTCTCGCCTAAAACCCTTCAAAGGCCGTAAACCTTCAACAGATTCGCGAAAAAACGACGTTTTCACATTTTTTTGCTCCAAAACTCGATCAAAAACCCGTTTTTATGAAAAATGAAAAAAAGAAACCCCTTTAATTTTCAGAGATCTATCTAAAAACGCAAAAATATTTCGAAAATAATATAAAATAAGTTCCAGATCTAACAAAATTGACTGATACAATCATTGCTCTTATACCAACTGTAAGTCCCCAAAAAGCTTGTGTATCAATCAGATCCGTTTGATGGTGTGGAATCCCAATCAAACGGATGATGTCAGATCAAATAGAAGAGAAGGAGAAGAAGAATAATATGAATCTCAATGTATTGATAAATAGAATGATGATCCGGATACAAGAGATTCACACACACTAACACACAATTGTTCTTCTCTCTCTCTCTCTCTAGGCCGTACACTCATTTTCTGTTCATCAATCTACTCCTTACCCCTAACACCTATATATATAATAGGGGAACATGGGCTGGAGAACATGGGCCGTAAATAAGTTTATGACCATAAACACCGACCGTAAACACTTAAATGGCCGTAAACACTAAGTTGTTTACAAACCAAGACACAAAAGTACAATTTTTCTACAAAAGTAAAGTATAAACCATATTTTTTACCCAACAATTGCCCCTTCGGAAAGCATACAAATAGCATTAACTTAACTTTTCATGATTTTCACCACAAACATAACAAAAAACATCTAGATAAAACATTTCTAAATCACCAATTTCCTTGTCACTTGATCAAATTTCTTTCTAAAGCTCATACAATTATCATCTGTCTTCATCTTGTACGAATTCAAATCATTTTCCAAAACTGAAGTCTTCAGTTACTTTGAGCTTGCTTCTAGTTCTTCTTCATCTATCTTTATCTTATTTGTTGCTTCGTCCTCATCAACATATTTCTAGAACTTACAACTTTTCTTATTTGGATCCTTCATATTAAAAAATCAGACAACGAAGAAATTATTTAGGAGAAGGATATAATAAAGCTTTAAAATACACGTACCAAAGAGTAACGACAAATCCAAAACTTTCTAACAGGATCAGTCTTATGGTTAATGTCTAAGTTTGAGAAATTTACCTACACTCACAAAGCTTCCCATCTTCAAGTGTTCTCTTTAATTTGGAAATTTTGGTGCTTGACTTGGAGATCATGGACTAAGAAGAAGAAGAAGAAGCCATGAACGAAGAAGGAAGAAGCCATTCACATAGGTGGAAATTCTTGCATTACTTTGTTTCTTTAATAATGAGTTATAATTTATATGGCTGAAAATGTCCTACATGTCAAGTAAAATGCCAAATCAGCCATTAATTGGAATATCCGGTTACCACAAGGTAAGGTAAGTACAAAATGTGAAGTTAGATGATATTTTTTTTGTTCGGTTTTTTAAGTTTGTTGGTATTTTTTGAATAGTATGTAATTCAATGATGTTTTTGTACAAAATTAAAACTTCATTACTTTTTTTAAATCATTTTCCCAATCTCAAACTGATTATTTTTATGATATAATCAGTTTTCTCCCATATTCTTGTTAGCTAGTTGTTCTAAAATGAAATTTAAATTTTTTTGGTCGGATTTGATTTTTTTTCCCTTTTAAACAGCCAACCACAAATATATTAAAGCTCTAGCAAGACACTAGAGAAAAAGAAAGAAAAATCTTACAAATTGTTAAGAGGGAATTGCATCAAACAATTGCAATTAAAAGTAAACTTTCTATATCTATTACTAATCCAAAGAAGTAAGTATTCTCTTCTAGAGTCAACAATACTATCATTTCTCATCTTCCCGCCTTCGAAAACTGTATGGTTACGAAACCTCCATAAGTACCAAAGAGACATGTTAACCACCACATCTATCACTCTTCTTTTATTGGCGCTTCCTCTAATCGCATCAATTAGATCAAATAACCCATTAATGCAATGAAAGGAGATAAGTTGAATGTCTAACCATCTGAAAATTATATCCCAAGTTTTGGCAGCCACCTCACATTTAATGAACAAGTGATCCAGTTGCTCTACTTCCAATTTACAAATTGAGCATAAAGTACTCGGAATATCAATTCCACGATGACTGAGATTACTCCTTGTCGACAATCTATTTAAGCGAATTCTCCACATAAGAATATTAACTTTCCGGGGGGACAAACCCATTCCATCTTGTGGGAGTAGGAACACTTGGTAAATTTTTTTGATCGATCCACCGTCTAGTATCTACTACAGTAAAAACCCCATTTTTTCCAATATTCCACATCCAACTATCACCTTTGTCTATCAGATGAACATCCAAAAGAACATTCAATAAATCAACAAGTTGAGTGTTTTCCTCCCCTCCTTTAATAGGATGACGCCAACACCAAGTCTAGCCATCACTCAACTTTCTATCCCGAATGTAACAATTTGGCTTCATCTCCAAACAAAAAAGATGAGGAAACCGAGAACATAATAATTGGTCACCAATCCAAAGATCATTCCAGATTGAATATTAGACCCGTTCCCAAGTATTCTTTTTAACATGGAAGCCGGAACAATGTTTTTTTCCTTCAACCGATTACATGAAGTGACAATTTTAGCCCAAGGAGCACACCCACGAGTTATATTTGTACCCAGCTCGAAACCTCCTTTAACTCCATAAATAGATTTTATAACTTGAACCCATAGTGGATCATTACATGTCAAAAAATGCCATCTCCATTTTTGAAGGAGAGCAACATTAAAAGCCGTCAAACTTTCGATATTTAGCCCCCCATTCTCCAAATATACCAAAACTAAATCCCATTTACATCTCACAACTTTCGAGTACTCAACCACGTCATCCCACTTAACACCAATACCAAAAATATTAGTTTTTTCCAAACCAATCTTCAAACCAGAGACTAAATAGAAACATTGCAGAATTGCAACCATATTAATCATGTTAGCCTTATTCCAATCTCCAAGGATAATCATATCATCCGCATAAAACAAATGTGACAAATTGGAATGAAGACCATCAATATGAGCTCCTTTAAACAAACCATCTCCAATAGCATTTTGTATAACCACATGAAGACCCTCCATTAACAAAATGAAAATAAATGAGGAAAAATGATCATTTTGTCTAAGACCTCTTTGGAGTTGAAATCCTTTGACAGAAGCACAACCGCTCTAGTAGAAATCAAACACACATGTATCCAAGAGCGCCATTAATCTCCAAAGTTCATAAACTTCATTACCGTATCTAAATATTCCCAACTGAGTGAATTATAGGCTTTAGCAAAGTCAATTTTAAATAGCATCAATTTTCTAGTCTTCTTCTTATACAACTCAACAACTTCATTAACCACCAATGGACCATCTATAATTTGTTTATTTTTAATGAAAGTCGTCTGCTCGTCACTAACAAGATTACCGATAGCCTTTTCCAATCGTAACGCCAAAATCTTTGCAATGATTTTATATTGTACGTCGATCAAACAAATGGGACGAAAGTCATTAACTACCATCAGACCCATTACCTTTGGAATCAATCGTTATAAAAGAAGAGTTACAACATGAAGATATTATAATCTTAGAAAAAAACTCTGAAACAAAATAAAAAACGTCGATCGTCAACACTTCCCAATACTTTTTAACAAAAGCAAAATTAAACCCGTCCGAACCTGGAGCTTTATCATTCCCACATTATCATACCACCAACTTTATTTCTTCAATTGAAATAGGAAGTTCAAGACCGGTAGCTAATGAGGCCGAGAGCTCCTTCGAAGAACCAAAATTACTTCAATTCTCTTAAACTTACTAGAAAAGTGTTCAAAAAATTCGTTTTTTTTTATACTTTAGGCACATCAGTTACCCAATCTCCCTCCATTTTAATCCCTTTTAGGCACATCAGTTACCCAATCTTTGTTTTTTGTTCAACACTTCATGATAATACTTTATATTCTCATCACCTTCTATGGACAATTTGATTTTTTCCTTTCTAAGAGATATTCAACATATCTTTCTTTTCTAACTGTTGAAAATGTTATTTGTCTTTATTACAATCTCATATTTATTTTATTAAGTAAGTTGTGAAGGGTGTATTGTGTAAGTATGTATTCTATAAGGGTAAAAGGTGTATACGGATTGTATCTGTTGAAATCTCGCGGGTTGAATCTGGATCAAGTCTGGGTCGGATTGTGTTTGTGGGTTTTATCCAAGATATAAATAGATGGGGAGATTGTTCTAGACTTCATTAGTTGAAAAGACGAACATATTAGATCAAGGGTTTTCTCTCATTCTTTGTATCTAGTTCTTATCTCTCGAGAGTTCTGTGTGTTTAGTTTTTTAGCAGATGTAATCAGTTTTCTTTTGTTTTTAGTTGATTAGAAATAGATTAGGTTGAGTGTTGATCTGAGTGATTTTGTAGTGAGTTTTTATTTGTAAGTAAATTGAAAACCACCTGTTTCTTGATCCTAAAATGATATGAGAAATGGTGATGTTAGGAAATTTGTCTTGTGAGGTTTTTAACATGGTATCAGAGCTCAAGGCTCGTCTTCGTTGATCCTGACGGACGCTTCTTGTACGACTTCTCGTGCTTCTACCTTTGACGATCTGTGACGATCTGTGACGATCTGTGAAAGGTATACTTCTTTCTCTTTTTTGCGATTGAACGAGTTCAGTTTAAGGTTTTTTCTTTATTTTTTCTTAGATCTAGAATCTAGCTGTTGAGATCTTGGTACTGCGAGATTTTTTTGGTTTAATCTTTCAGGGATGTTGTGATTCAAGATCTCACCGAGTGTTGCTGTAAAGAAGTTTAAAACTCTCCAACGCAATCGATCAATCCCTATTAATCTGAAATAATCCTCGAGGGGTCAGATTTCATCACTGATAAACCCTTGTAGGAAACTGATTAAGGGAGTCGATACAGTCATTCTTGTTTGCCTATTGCACTGTGAGAGTTTCTCGTTCCCTTCTTTTTTTCTTAGCTGTAGATCTGGAGTTTTTTGATGTTTTGAATACATCTGTTATTTTTTGGTTACTTCTTGAAGCTATCTTTGTTCTTTCTTCACACTGTGTTGATTGTCTTGGGCCCCGACATACTGTGGTGACCATCTGGACTTTAAGTCAACACTAGTGGTGTTCTTTGTTCTTGATCTGTTTTGTTATTTGGATCTTTGATTGTTTTGTGACTTACTATGGCTGGTGAAACGTCTGATGGGAGTGGTGTTCCTAAGGAAACTCCTATAGATTTTGATGATCCTTTATATGTTCATCCTTCTGATAATACTGTAACATCCATTATAACTGTTAAACTAACTGGTAATGAGAATTATCGATTGTGGCGTAGTGCTATGTCTAGAGGTCTTAAAGCTAGAAATAAATTGGGCTTTGTGGATGGTACTATTACTCTTGAAAATACTGAGAAATCTAAAGCCTCTAAATGCGTAGTGCAAGTCTGTTTCTTCTGAGTCTGGTCTTGGGAGTGATGTTCATTTTCTCACTGGTGAGCAATATTCTAAGTTTTTGTGTCTTATTAGTGAGAATTCTGCTTGTGATGATGTGCCTGCTACTGCAAATATGGCAGGTATGTCTGTGTTTCAGTGTTGTAATTCTTTTGTTAGTTCGAATGATTCTCAAAGCTGGATTGTTGATTCAGGAGCTAATCAACATATGATAGCTTCTGAGTCTCAACTTAAAGATGCTATAGATGTGTCTAAACTTAATCTATCTGTTAAACATCCTAATGGTTCATCCGCTTCTATAAATAAAATAGGGAATCTTCAATTGTCCTCACATCTTACTTTATTTGATGTCTTTGCTGTTCCTGATTTCAATGTTAATCTTTTGTCTGTTCATAAACTTTGTAAAGATAGTGGCTGTGAGGTTGTTTTTTCTGAACATACTTGTAAAATCCAGGATTCACTATCAAAGAAGATGGTGGAGAATAATAGAGAGTCTGGGGGATTATACTATCTTGATTGTGTTCCCTCAGGTATTTCACCACATAATGTGTCTAAATGTTATGTTTCTAAATTGACATGGCATAGTAGACTTGGTCATCCAGCAGACCAAGCTTTAATATCCTTAAAAGGTGTACTAAAACTTGGAAATGAATCTCTTCCTCCTTGTGATGTTTGTCATAAATCAAAAGAAACTAGAGAATCTTTTCCACATAGTCAACATACATCAACCAAGTTA